AGCATGAGTGAGCAGCACTTAAGGTTTTATAAGACGTTAAATATGTCCAAATGTTCTAATAAACAATTTACAATACTTAAGTTTATATGAATAAATAACTGTGTCATATGTAATTAAAAGTGTTACTATAATTGATAAAACACTTTTAAACGTTTTAACAAGTTTTAGAATAATTTTGAAATAAAAAGGCATATTGGTATTTTTATATGACGATATTTGAAAAATATATTATAAAAATTATTTTCCTTTAATGAATTTTGTATTTATATAAAAAAAAAAGTTACAAAATATTATACAAAATATAATTTGTGATGCATGAGGGGAGGGGTGTCATGTGAATTCAATGGGGGTGTCATGTGGGTATCACATGCAAGGGAACACATAAACACATGCCCAAACTATAAACCTGTCCTTTGGGGTCACCTTGTCTATGTTTATAAATCCATATCAATTCAGATACAAATATGTCACAAAATTTAATAATCTTAGGAGCCGTTTACCTAAACACTTATCAGTAAAATTCAACACTATCGGTTACTTACCGGACAATATTTTATTCACTAAAACGCATCGTATGCAACGATTTATCCTAGTTAGCTCTAACCATGGTAAGAGTCCTCGTCTTCACTTACCAGGTAAGACTTTCGATTCTTGCCTTCGCCCTTAAAATCACATCTTTATCTTTTTGACAAACAAAAAAAGTCTATGTATATTTCATATATTTTGGATATGTGGACCCTAATTTCAAGTGGGACGCACCACGTCTCATTCGCTTGGTTTTTATACAAAAACTAAGTTCATGTAACGAACAAATAATGCATTACAGAAACATGTTCTTTGTTTAGACCAAACCAGTTTTATCCCAAATCCTATTATTTTGTCGAGATCTGGTTGTTGTCGGGTTGTTTCAGAGAAGTGATTGATTGTAGATGAAGGGGGTGTGGCCGTGTTCACCATGGTGACTACAATCCCACCTTCATTGCAACCATCAAAAACCATTTGGTCCCATTTCCCTTCTTGCTATTGCTATAAATCAACTATATATAACCATATTGTTCCCATAACTTTTTTTTTGTTTTTTATGTAAATAATTCTGTGTGTTTGATTGGTGTAACATGTGATTCAAATTCGACTACGAAATTTTACGAGTGTTAAAAATAACTTTAGTTTATGTTATCTGTTATCGTTGTAAAAAATATTTTAAGAGTGAAAAAGTCGAATGCGTCAAGTTATTGAGCATGTTTTTCTTAGTCTTTTAAAAAAGTTGTTGATAGCATTTTTGACGGCATCTCCTAAATACATGTTGGAACATTAATTATCTCTTCAAAAGACTTTTCTGAAAAGTAATCTAAAAAGATTCTACATATCGTCACAATTTAAATTATATTAAAATGAGGCCTCAATTTGAAAAAAAAAATGTCATAATATAATTTAAAGGAATAAGATTAACAATGTTAACTATTACTGCTAATTACGTCATACTTCAGGCAAAAAAGTTGATAACTAGTAATCTCAACTGGTTCCACACGGAATCCGTCTTCAAAGACACCAATATGATTAAGCATTTGTTTTGGCTCACTCAGTGCAGGGATCAAACCCGAGAACTGTATACCATTTGGACGAGAATCAATTGAGCTATACGTGAGACGCAATTAATTATGTTATATTATTTAATTAAAATTGATTGTCATTGATATAATAATATTTTCATTTAAATATGTTATTAAAACTATAAACAAATATATTTTGCAAATGTTATAATAATGAATATTGAGTTAGTTATGATTCTGAATTATGATATAAGGATGGTATCCAACTTTTAGCCCACAAAATCCCAGCTGTTACATTACATAATAAAATGTAAAGATTAGATCCTAAATCATAACTCAAAATAATGATGGACAAGTGGATATCAAATTGCTGAATAAGTTTTCATAAATTACAATACAAGTTTTTTAATGCTTAAATATATTATTTAAAGTGTATTTCAGTTAGAAAATATGATTATAAAATTATGTATAACATTTTTGTTTAAAATAATGTAAATTGAAAGAAAAAAAAACAAATCATGCCTGAGACGGTTATCTGGCTTAGGATCAATTGTAGAATTTTTGGTCGGGATCGAGACTGACTAACTTGATTTAGAAGGGATTGATTCGGGTTTGATATGGGACTTTTTTTTTTATTAACCTAGATATCCAACCCGCTATGCGAGCCGACTAATCTCCGGGCGACCATTTGCTTTGCAGATAGCTTGAAGTCACCGCATTTGAACCTCCGTGGCCATAAGGGGATTTTTATTCCTCCTTGGATTTGAACCTGAGACCTCCAGGTACTTTTAACCTTTGAAGTCAAGCTCAAACCAATTAGACACCACCTTTGTGGTTTATGGAACTTATATTTAACCATCCATCTCTAGATTGAGTTAAACATGGGAGAAATGGACTTAAAAATAATATTGCTCACAATTAGGTGTAACTCCCAACATTTCCACATGATCAAATCAAAAAAATCTCATAATGTGTTTTGAGTTTATCCCAAGCATGACAAATATTTCCATTGTCTTTTAGAGAAAAGTAAGATTGCATTTGATGCATGAGACATGATAAAATGAAATGGGACATGATTCACTGTTTCATGTATGGCGTGGCATGGAACATGACAAGAACTCGTTGTTCCACGTTTGACGCGACATGGGACGAGACAAGAATTGCGATAAGATGTGACAGTGTGTGACAAAAAAAGCTTTTTTGTTCCACCACAATAGGTGTAATAAGATGAGACAAGAATGAGACAAAAACTAAAATATTATTAATCTACCTTCATTTGATATATAACCTTAATATAGTATTTGTTTTAGTGGTCACCACCGCTAGTCATGGCTGCCGCCACCACCAGCGGCCACCAGTAGCCACTGTCGACCACTTCCATCTCCCCTTCCACTACAATAACCTCCTCCACTACCTCCACAATCACCGTTGACCTCCGACCATCACCATCCATCATTACCTCCACAATCACTGTTGGCCACGGACCACCACCGTTCATTGCCACCACCACTACCACTGTGGACCACCTTGCCTCCACCATGACCACCACCACCACCATCTGCCACCAAGACCACTGCCCGCCACCACTACCTCCACTACATCTGCCACTACCACTCGTACCATCAGCCATTACCACCTCCACCTCCATCATAACCACCTCCACCATCAGCTACCACTACCCACCACCACTACCTCCACCATATCAATTAGAACTACCTCCTCCACAACTGTCGATAGGGGTGCTCAAAAACCCGATGAACCCTACCAACCCAACCCGAATTTTAAAAAAAAAGCCCAACCCGATGTAACTCGATGCATGATCGATAAAAAAATTAGCCAACCCGACCTTATTGGGTTGGAATCGGGTCAAGCCCAAAAAAGACCAACCTGACAACCCGATGAACCCGACCTTAACTTTAGCTTTGAATTGTAGATGACAATCATGACATGACCAACCTCAACATCAAGAAAGCGAAAGCATCAGGGTTGGAAACGTCTAAAACTATTGTTGTTGATTGATGTATTATCATTTGGTTTAAACATTTTTATTGTAATATCTAAATATTTGATGAACTTGCATATTATCTTGAATGGTTGGTCGTATTTCAAAGGAAAGTTTCCTTTATTTTTATGTGATTTTACATTGTTTAAATACAACCCGATCAACCGGAACGGGTTGGGTTGGGTTGGGTTAAACTTTTGTTTGGGTTGGGTTGTGTTGAAAATTTTCAAACCGCCAACATTGGGTTGGGTTGTTAAAACGGCTCCAAACCGATCAACCCGGGCCGTGAGCGCCCCTAACTGTCGACCACCAGCACCATCACTATCTACCATCTTCACATCCTCCACAATCATTGTCAACTACCGAACACCACCATACATTGTCACTATCATTGGTATTGTTGGCCACCATTGCCGCCATCCACTATCACCACCACTACCTCTACGACATTGGCCACTACTACCTCTATCACCACTATCGACAACTACTACACTATTATCCACCATCTTCACGTTCGCTACCACCACCACCACCGCCCACCACCACCTCTACCTCCATAATCATTGTTCTTGCAACAATCTTCACCGTGTCTTCGCTAATCGATAAGGATCTTCCAAACCGAATATAACATAATTTCTCCTTTGTACGAACTGGGTTTTTATGAATACCATTAATTAAATCAAAATTTCCATTCAAATTTGATACTATTATATATGTATGTATTTATCTATATGAAAATTGTGTAAAAATGTTTACAAGAAAAAAGTTTGGTACTATCAGCCACTCTTGTCCTATTCTGTCATGTCATATCCAATCATAATTGCATACCAAATGCTACCTAAAATCACATCTAATAATGCTTACACTTAAACTTTATTATAATATAATTAACCAATCGGTAAAATTTTACATTTTAGTAGAGGTGAAATTGCTTCCATAGATGCGGGAACATCCTTGGTTTTATGTGCTTCATTATTTTATTTTCTATATTCAAAATCTTACCTGGTAAGAAGCATAGTAAGGACCGAGAGTTTTATTCAATAAGTGAAGAAAAAAGACCCTTACCCCGTACGCTTTTACCAGGTTTCAGATGCTTGCTTACCAACAATCTATTTTGATAGCCAAGAATATTACACGATAAGTAAGGTGATGTCCCTTACCGATAATCGCTTACCAGATAAACATTTGGTAAAAGACCCCTAAATATTCGGCCATGCCTCTATTTAGTCGGATAAGAAAAGACCATTTTACCCTTTTCTCTATTTTTAACATTTTAAAAATATTTCTCTTTTATTTTTCGTTTCTTTTTTTTAATGAAATTGTTTTAAACCCAGAATTTAAATCAGATCCTAAATCTAAGAACAACTAGACGAACATCAAGAACGTAAACAACAAACATGGGTAAATAAAATGACAGTTTCACCCTTGTACTTGACAGAGGAAAAACAAAATGCAAAGCATGAGCGTTTTTCTGTAATAAATAGACACAGCGTCAGCTTAAATTTTGCTAAACAAACATACAAGCAGCATCAGCAACCAACTGACCACAAGCAATACCCAATCCAACCAAAACCATTTACAACTCATCAACCAAAAACCTTAAGCATCACCTCCTCTAAGATTTTCCTAAAAATACCCTTGCACAAACCCTAATAGGAGTTAGGTTCACACCATTCTGTACCTAAAACCCTAATATCTATATATAACTATTTATATATATATATGGGTGATTATGCACACATATCACTACTTCACTCTTCAACTTGTCCCTTCAATTTTTTGTTGGTATCGTCTGATCCTGAATCGCCTTTCTGTTTCACCTTCTCTGCCCCCTCCTATTCAAACAAAATATTACATAGGTTAAAACCATAAGATTACACAAACATTAGCGTCTATGCACTGGGCATACATACCAAGTTCAAGAAAACCGCCCCCGGGGGGCTTGTGCACCATGCAAGGTGTGTGCTAACAGACAATAAGATGGTTTGTATAACAGGTTGTATAACGATTCAATGATGTGCTAGCAGACGATGTAATAAGGTATAACATGTAATACAAGTAGAACTAATGTATAGAAAAGCAACTTAAACATGTAGGAAAGTCAAGTAAGAAGGTTAGGATAGGTCCTATCAGATCCAATAGGATATATATATATACACACATACATACACAAACAAAGAGGGTTTTCTTCACATAGAGAGAAACTTCCAATAGTTAGTGAAGTTCATCCCGTAAGGGTATTGTGTGTCCATTATACACCTAAACAACACAGGTGGCACAAAAGGTAAAACAATACTAAAGTCTACAAACTATGTGAGAGTTGTGAAATGGGAACTTTCACAAGTGTGCATGGTTTTTAAGAATCAAATGACCTTCTGCCCATCAAACTCTCCCTGTTGTGGGGTTACCATAACTACTGATTGCAGGTCGCGAGGGATTTAACAAATGGTCACATGAACATAAAAACCAAGAACCATTAAATCCCCGAGCCATGATATCATGATACATTGCTGATATGTACCATGAAGGACCCTTGAAGAAAGCTAAAGTATTATGTTGAAAGATGTTACCCGATTATTTCCCGTAGCATTTTCACCACCAACAGATGTTACTTCTCGAATTGTGATGATCTTGTCTATATATACAGTGGTCTCCTTGGTACCTACTGCAGTCGCTCCATGCTCATCGTCCAGAGTCTTGCGTTCTGATGATAACCCACTGCACATAGAATAAAAACAACAAACTCAATCCAAAAAGACAATAAGCACTATACAGTAAAAGATCCGTCAGTTGAGTGACCTTTTCTGACAAGTTCTAGGATGCTGCTAAACTTGTCAGAAGGTTATGCTGTTATTAAAATTTTCAGTTAAAGTTATTGAGCAAAATAGTCCATACAGTAAACCACATCAACCCAACCAAGTTAAGCATGAACTATCTAAACAAAAATAGAGACGTACCGGGTGGTAATACTTTCCTCGGATTGTTTTATTTCCTTCTGCTGCTTCCTTTTCTTGTTACTGTGTGTTTGTTCCAGCAAAGTACTAGCACATCTTTTAAGCCACCCAAAAGGAGTTGAGACAGGAGGAGAGCCATTATCTAATTCTTGTTTAGTAGATGAATCATTTGCAACACCTTCATCACCACCAGTTTTGGGAATCGAATCCAACTTAGTCCGACGCTTGAGATATCTTTTTGCAACAGCAGAATGTTTTTGGGAATCTGAATCACATTCTTCAATCTCACTTGCAGCGATACGATAGGGAACATCTTTCAGATCCTCCAATTTCTTCAACTGTTCAATCTGAGCAAGAATCTCTTCTCTGTCAGCATGCAACAGTTCCCTCTGTTTCTCCAATTTTTGTCTTTGAACTTTAAGTTCTTCAATGGAATCATTTAACTCTGCCCATTCCTTATCCCTTCTCTCATGATCCATATTAACTTTTTTTCTCTCCACATCAAGTCTTTGCATCTCAAAGTTAATCTGTTCTGATTCCTTTGCTGCTGTTTCCTTAAGGGATGAGATATACTCAAGTTCTTTCTTCTTTTCTTCCTCAAAAGCTTTTTCTTTTTCTCGTAGGTAACTTTCTATTTCTTCACGCTTCTTTTCAATACAATTCTCTAGCTCCTTTTTCTGCATCTCGATATCTAGCACAAAGTCTGTGCGTTCTTTCTGAATTTTACTGAACCATTCAGAACGCTCTTGCTCGATTTCTCTCATGAAGGTTTCCCTATCATGAGAAAGCGATTCAACATCTTTTTTATACTGTTCACGTATTAAATCCTTCTCCAACTTCAAGACATCACGCTCATCCTTCAAAAACTTTGAAATGGTAACTCTCTCTTCCGCAATACGCTCTGCCTGAAGTCTCAATTCTTCTCTTTTTTCATCAATCAGCTCCCACTCTGCTTCAAACTTTGCCTTCTCTGTTTTCAACTGGTCTGCCTCAACCTCAAGTTCATGCTTTTGAGCTCTTATCAAATCAATTTCTTCTTTCAACCTGCCTTCTAAAATCATTAATTCATTTGTTTCGGTTCTCATGGCCTCCACTTTCTCCTCTGCATGAGAAATTTCTTTGCTTTTGTCATCCAATAATTTCAAAGACTTCTGAAGGTCATTTTTCATGCGATTGACCTCTTCTTTTTCTTTCTGCAATATAGTGTTCTGCAACTCTACCTCTCTTTCAGCAGCAAAGACACTTTTCTCTTTCTCCTCCACAGCATTCAGTTTTTCTAAAAGATCCCTCTCCTTGTCACCAGCAGCTCTTGCCTGAACCTCCAAATCATGCTCTTTTTCTGAAATTAAATCCTCCCGCTGACTAAGCTCCACTTCCCTTAATTCTGAAGCCCGCCTCTTGCTCTCAATCTTGTCCTCCATTAACTTGAGCTTTGTTTCTAGCTGAGCTTCAAACTGAACACTTCTTTCTTTCAAAGCAGCTTCATGATTAGCCATCACCTGTTTAATTCGGTCCTGCAGAATTTCAAAACAGCAGCCGACTATAAGCAACTAGCTCACAAGCATACAAAATAATTGAAAAAGCACACTTGGTAATTCCAATCCTGATCAAGTATGGATAATGTTGTGACAGAAATCCAAACTTCAAAGATAAAATGTCATGGGCTATATTTATCAAATATTCATATTCAAACATAAAGATATCAATTGGAGTAACGATGTCTCACAGATTCCTTGCTTGCAATTTCCTCTTGCTGCATTAGCAACTCTTCAGACTTCTTTTTTAACTCATTTTCCTTCTTGGTTATATCCTGTAAGCACCCATAGAAATACTCATACATCATGTAGCATCCAACAAGAACTTTTACTGATATGCATAGTATTAGCTAATAAAACAATGAAGAAATATTTGAACAAACCTCATCTCTCGCATCCAAGGAAGCTCCTTTTAACTCCAAATTGTATTTTTCCTCTTTAAGGGATTTACGCTCCTCCTCAAGGTTTAATCTTAATGCCTGCAGCTCCTTCTCAAGGCGGCTTATTTCTTGAGTCCTGCTAAAAATGTAATCCTCCCGTTGATTTAGCAAGGCTTGCCCATCAAGTAATCTTTCCTGTGATTGTTGTACAGATTTCTGCCTTTCACCCAAAGATTGTCTTTCAAGAAGAATTTCTTTTTCTTTTACATCACACCTAACATATTTAGAAGGCAAATAAATTCATAAGTTAAAAATTAATGAAAATTGGCATAGCAATAAATTTTCTGCTACATAGAACAAAAACATAAACATGAATGGTCATTATCAGGAACTTGTTTTAAGTAAAACATCATACAAGATCCACATAAAGCATATGTTAATACAAAAGGCACCATCAATCTATATTCGGCATGAATGTGCATGTGGTAATCGTGATATCTCCAGCCTTTCTTTCTGTTGAGCACTGTCTTATTGTATTACAAATGCCCAAACATAAATACAAATCACTAGATATGCTATGTGACATAACATAATAATGATGGGCGAAAATTTGAGTACAACCAGATCAGGAGATGGATAAAAAATCATACCCAGACTTGAATGAATTTATCTGCCTCCTAAGATCATCTTCACGTGCTTCAACTTCATGTAACTTTCTTTCAGCAGCACGGCGGTACCGACTAGCTTCTGCTTCCAAAGATTCTGCAGATTGCATCTTAGAATTGGCTTCTGTCATCTTCTTAAGGGCATCCTCCATCATACTTCGTGCCTCTGCTAATTTTATGTCAGCTGCAACCTTCGCCTCGGCACATTCTGCACGCATCTCATGCAACGCCTTCTCAATCTACAAAGATCATACTTTAGAGACAACTGTAATCAAATCATGAAAAATAAAAATTATAAAGTAGATACAAACGTACATTAGAAACACATTCTCTCTCTATTCCAAGGGATTTCTTCAAATTTTCTTCCCTTTTCTTTGCTTCAGCTAAAGCAGACATGTGGGCAGCATGGTCGCGCTTTACAGTCAGTTCAGCAGTCTCTGCAGTGGATTTCATCTGCTCATAATTGGCAACCCACTCCTTCTTTTCAATGATCAAAATGCCCATTTGATTTTGAAGGTTGTATATCTACATTAAATTCACAAAAAACAAGATATATAGTAAGTGATTGATTTCATACAATTAAAACCATATTTTTTACACAATGAGACATCAATTTGAGATTTAATACAACACCAACAAATGGCCATTTGATTTGAAGGTTGTATATCTACATTAAATTCACGAAACAAGATATATAGTAAGTGATTGATTTTATACGATGAGAACCTATCTTCTTTACACAATGAGACATCAAATTAAGATTTAATACAACACCAACAAAAAGAGGGTTATTGGATCATTTCATTAACATCCAATTAGTAAAAGGAATTGGACATACGATTTAAATTAAGCATGTATTAACTGTTTACCTCTTAAAAACTCAACCTCCTATTTGCCTTCAACTTTAGGGTTTGAAAAAGAAAAAAGAAAAACATGCCCACACAAACACAACAGTCTTTCTCACTCTTCAAAACTCAATATTGAAGAAAACATTCTATCAGTTTCTACTTTTCTTTTTCAAAATACACATTCAATGTACGAAAAAATATAATTGCAATTCCTGATCTGTATCAATTAATCCAAAATGTAAAACTCCATATGCATTAATGGAATTCCTCTCAAAAAAAAGGAAAAAAAAAACAGCTAGTTAACAAAGGAATAACATGTAAGTCGAGTTGTAGATATAAAGAAAGCCAAGAAGAAGATTAATCAAAACAATACAGATAATAGGGCGAAAGAGAGAGGACCTCAGCTTCGAGTTTTGCAATATGAGCGATGAGTGAACCTTTATCCCTTCGTTTAATCGATTCTTCATCAAAACCTGCTTCACGAAGACGCTTCCATATGGTTTCATCACTCAAAGGGCTTTTGAAACTCAAAACCCTAGAAGAATTACTCGGTGTCGTCGGAGTGACTGCAAATCGCCCCGACTGAGGACTCGCCATCCGATCGGAAAACCCTCAAAATCGACAATGAGATCGATCTTTTGTTGACTATTCTCCTTCGGTTTTGATTTCTCGAACAGCTTTACTCTTTTACTTCACAGCTGCCTTATTCGTTTCTGCTTTCTTTCTTTTCCGTTTGTATTTCAAAACAGCAGTGATTTCGTACGATGTCGTTTTCAAGCGGTTCGGGTTATTTTCCGGCCTGGACCGTTCAAATAAAAAGATAAAACAATTCTTCGCACGGATGTTTGGATTGTTTATTTAAATTGCTTATTATTTATTTTAAAGTTTTTTGTATTTAGATGAAAAAAAAAATTAAGAGGGTGTTTGGGATTGCTTATTTTAGGTGTTTTTTGACTTATTTTAGTCTGGTATCGGTGATAAGCTAAATGCTAGTGTTTAGATGAGGAAAAATAAAACTGCTTATACCGGTGCCAAACCGGTAATAAGCAGTTTTTTATAAGTTAATCTTTCATGACTTATGAAAAATTGTTTATTACCAGTTTACCATTTTAACCATATTTGTTAATTATTTATTTTATTGATATAAATTATTAATCTTATTGATATAAATTATTAATCTTATTGATATAAATTTTTGTCAATTATATGGAAGAGTGTTATTTTTGGTCATTTTACACGTATAAGCAAAATTTGTCAAACACTAAAAAACAACTTATCAACTTATTGTTTTTTGGTACCGTTATAAGCTAATCCAAACACTTTTTACAAAACTCCGTTTTGATACCACATAAGTTAATAAACACCTTTATAAAAAAACATAAGTTGTTTTAAATAAGCAATCCCAAACACCCCCTAAATATAAAAATATATTAAAATATAGGTATAAAATAGACAATTTTCAAACTGTATGTTATAAACTTATGGTTTTAAAATACATTTTTTTAAATAATAATTAAATAAAAATACAATTTACATTTTTATATCTTTGTAATTGCAATTGCAAATATTGTAATTTGTTGTATTATTTTTAGTGCTATGTTTTGATATGTTTTTGTAAGTGTGATGATACGAGTTTTTGTTACATTTTGTAAAAAGAATAGGAATAGTTTTTTATACATTTATTTATGTTTACCGCACAACTTATATGTATATTTTTTATTAAAAAAGGTCAAAAGAAAATACAATGAATTTTTTCATTTTGAATGGTTAAGTCTCTAAACTATTTATTTAATGAATAAACGATTTGATGTCATTTTCTCTTTCCTGATAAAAGATTAGGCCAACTTTCATAAAGGAAAGCGAAGAACCCACTTTTAGTTAATAAGAGCCCTACTTCCCTCGAAAAACCCCAGCAATGTTTGGACTTTTTATTTTAAATGATTAAATTCCTGAATATTTTTTCAATAAATAAAAAATCGAACTTTTGAAGTTTGGTTGGTTATCTACATAATTTCTAACCAGGAAAACTAAGTGTAAGTATGTAAACGGTAAGTAAGATTTTAAAGTACAAAAAACTTATATTAGTTTTATCATTCCCAAATCCTATAAAATTTAAACCGTTACACCCAACTGTATTGCAACCCCTCACCACCTCTTGCCGCCCAATCATCGTTCGTTCTCTATACAACACATCGCCATTATTGGCCCCAATCATCTACCTTTCACTTTTTTATCTGTTTTTTTTTTTCTTTCAATTCTCTCTTTTACAACAATTTAATGAAGTACGTATATATAGAAAAAAAATAGGGAAAATCGGGAAGAAAAAAAACGACCAGAAAAGGGAGATTGATTGCAGAGGCTAAAAGGCGCGATGGTTGGACAGCGATAGAGAACAAATGACAATGAGATGGTGAGAGGAGCAATGGTATTAAGTGTGGGAGGTTTGAATGACGTAAGATTTGGGTATCGTAAAATTGATTTAGGCTTTTTTTTGTACTTTAAAACCATTATAGCAGATTACAAGTAGTGTTTTTGAGTTAAAAGAATGTAGACAACAAATTCTAAAAATTCGATGGTTTATTTGTTAAAAATGTTTAGTGACTTGATTAATCAAAATGAGAAAGTTCAATGGTTTATTCGTAAAAAAAAAGTTTGACGACTTAATCATTCAAAATGCGAAAGCTTCGTTTTTGTTTTTAACTTTTCCCTTCCTTCTTTATAGTCAAAGACCAAAAACGTTTGTTGAATGGTGCCAGCGTTTGAAAAATTTTCTTTATAGTTTTTTCTTATAGTCAAATGGTGCTACTGTTTGAAAAAATTTCTGGTCCGATCATGTTTAGAGGGTTTTAGAACCCATTAAAAGGCAGACATTTTTTACCAAACAAAATTCATATCTTAGAGATTCAGAAGCTGCCTCTTAATGAAACTATTAAGAGATAAACAAATAGCTCATTAATCGTTTAGAATACACGTCCTTTGAGGTTTTTCGGATTGTTCACATGATTTTACCAAATTATCTGGTTTTATAAGTCAAAAGAATTTATTTATTCCGTTTTAAAAATTCCAAAAATTTATTCGCTCAAAAATTGTCAAGAACCTGATCGTTTAAAATTAAAAAATTCGTCTTGTTTTTCTTGAGAAAATAAATTCTTAAAAACTATAAATTACAAAATATCGAAGCTGTTCGATTATACACTAGAAAATAACAAATAAGACATTACAAAAGATAAAAATAATAAAAAATTATGTTTTAAAAACCTGCATTGGATCATGGTGTGTCACAGGCTTAACGTAGGATGAGACACGAGTTTTAAGCCACGGTGCCCCACGACTGTTGCAGCGAGCTTTCTAAAACACCGTGTTTCAATAAACGTGTAAAATAACAGCTAAGGGCGACCATTGCCAATTCATGTCATAAATACGTGGTAACACGGTTTCGTTAGAGCCTACAATACAAATTTATACACCAACTCTTACATGTTAAAAACTAGTTTCGTTTTCTTGTAATAATCAACAATCCAACCCTCGATGATCTTGATTTCGGAAGCTCTTTGCTCCACCAACCAATCCGGATCATTCGTCGTAGCAGCTCGCAGATCCAAGTGATGCGCACCTAAAACACACACCCGTCGTCAATATATACTTTCGTTCTCAAAAGTCTAAATGCACGACAATGTTGGGAGTTAAAAGTTACCTTCTTCCGTCACAAGAGCAACTATGCTTTCCGATATGTTCTTGAGAACACTGCACAATGTACCAATTAGTAACCCAATATATTCAAAAATGTCGAAGGCCATGTCTCGTAACTATAAGTTAGTTTATAAGCTATCTTTTCACAAAGCTACTCAAATAGCTTATTGGGGTTTTTTTTTCAATTTTTCTTCCAAGTATACCCTTTAGAAGTTGCAAAACATACCTGCCACCACTCCAAGGATCTAAGAGACCATTTGAAAAGATGATGTTGCTTCCAAATGTTTCAAGGACAGACTTGTAATTCTACATAGAAATTAACCACGATTATTTTACGTTCACATTGTTCCCTCAAAACAATCAGATTATTTCTTGAGCTTATTGAACAAGTCCCATTTCACAAGCCATAAAACTAGCTTTCTGAAAAGGAATAGATCGATAAAAGATTCTTACATGTCCACCGAATTCTGTAGTTATCCAAGTAGGCCTAGGAAGCACACGGAATTCGTTCCAACAATCCTCTGCGTAAGAAGTGGCGTTATAATCCCATTCTGGAAACATGCTAGAATTCTTGTTACTAGACATCGGCATAACCATTTCCGTGCATGCCTGTAGAAAACATACAAAAAAACCGATACCATTATGTCATGTAGCGTATATAATCACATAATTATTGCCAAAAAATACGTATTTTTTTAGTAAAAAACTAAAAGTAACTATCATACCTGCCAATTCCAGCCGCTCATGCCATGAGGGTCATCATCCAATTGAAAGCAGTCGGCTTCTCCAGTGTAATTGTAATAGACACTTATGCCTTTAAAGATCCGATCCAAAACGCTAGTCCCATCAGGAAGATTGTCGATCTCTTTACAAACCTGTTGAAATGAACACTTTCCGTTTGAAGAAATATGAAAAGACAGCAAGAAGTTGGGGCAATTGGTTGTTTTTCTTTCAAAAAGATAGCTTATCAGCTAACCAAACGGGGCCTTTTCAATAAGCTCAAAAAATAAGCTAGCTTTTGCATCTTATTTGAAGAGACATCAAAACCAGTATAAATAGGAGTGTATGGAACCTGGTTTGCCGATTATTCAAGTGTTCATTTGTATCTTACAACTACAAGCACTTCATATTCACATATGAAGATATTATAAATTCTGATTGGTAGTCTAACCTCTTTTATCGGGTATGCAGGCAAAGGCATTAGAAATTCCGATGGGTATGGATAGTCTACCATTGCCAAATAACTATATGCTGAATCCAGCCAGTCTGAAAGGTCTTCACTGCTCTTAAGTTTCCTGCCATTTATATCTTCAATCAATAAACAAGAATGCCCCGATGATCGTATTACCAAAAATACAAGAAACAAATAAATTCATACGCAAAAATTATTAATTCGGATGGTTGTATCTTATGATCACCATTTCCTTACAGAAAGATGTTTTACCCTTAAAGATCAAACCTTGATGGGAATTGATGAACCAAAAGTATATGGACATTGAACGCTAGAGGGGGTTCAAGAGAGAACCGCAAAAAATAAAGGATAACAAAGGAACCCCTATCAACCGTTGGATCTAACAAATAGATAACCCAAATTCGAATGTTACTGCCCATATAATCATGATTTAGTTTTGAAGAAATGTAAGCGCCCCTGTTATCACAACCGTTGGATTAAAATAGATGGATGGTTCGGATGCATCCACATGTTCTTACCCGCATAAGTGGAAAGTCTCGGCAAGATGATCAAGACCATTTGCTTTCTGACCCACAGAAGTTATTATATCCCAAGATTTCTTTATAGTGTCGAAACAACTCGTGCTTTCTTGCTATGGTACAAGAAAATGGAAAAAAAGGTTAAATCTTGAAAGTCATCAGGAAACTGAGAAATGGATTTGGTGAGAATAGAGTAAAGAATTCACGAACTCTGAAATCATTGGAGACAATATCATAAAACGTTTGTAGCGGCACGATATCCTCAAATTGAAGAATTGGTGCCGAAGAAGCAAGTGCACCGATAGCGATATGCGGATACTTGATCCTCATCCACGCAGCCAACACTGTTCAATTAACCACCAAAAACAGGTCAATATTGAATGTTATGTATTGGGGGTCAATCATGTGAGAACCATAAAAACCTTACAAACCATGAGAACCTGTGCATTATTTGTTATTTCACATGATTTTTCTCCTCAAAGACTAGGATTTAAGGTATTGATTAACATATATCTCTTTCAACACGTATTTGTTTCTCAATATGAAACTTTTTTTACGTGTTTTGTGAAACAGAAAATACATGTAAAAGAGTTTCACATTGTAAAACAAATATATCTTAATCAATAGTTTAAATCCTAGCCTTGGTAAAGTTCTCACGGTTCTCAAAATACATGTATCATTTCCACGAATAGTATTCATGTGAGTATGGATTCGATTCATAGAAAAACATGGAAGTCTTACTTCCACCATATGATCCACCAAACAAGATTACAGGAGAAGCCTCGGCAGATAAATTTCTTTTTAAGTCGGTTATTAGGACAGCATAATCGGCAAGTGCTTGTTCGGCTGTTAGATGGGCCAATGTAGAAGCATTCTTGTATGCCTCTTTCTGGCTTCCATATGGCACTGACTCGCCATAATACCGATGCTGCAATCAAATGCTTTTTCAAACTTCCTTTATTATACCAAAGATCCACAGTAAAGTTAGGAAAACTACTTAACAAATCACTCAAGAACTAGCTTATTTGGAATCTTGAAGCTTGAAAAATGAAAATTGAATCCAAATAACTTATGGGTATGATTGAGACTGATCAGAATTGAGATCTGTTCTACAAAGAGGGTGGCATGGAAATGGTTCTAACCCTAATCATCAAAAGCACAAACTGATGGAAAGATTTTGAGTTTTAAACAAAAGGATTCCAATTAACACCCCATCAATTAACACCAAAGAATCTTGTTTTGCCTTTTGATCGAACTGGGCATGTTTTGACCTCAAATTCAATGCCATTATATTGATATCCACACTGAAATACACATTAAAAAGTGTTCCAATAGAAACATTTTGGGGAAAACAATAGAAAAGTACTATAATAACTGAGGCTTACTTCGGGGAAGATGACCATGGCACCAAAACGAGGTGCGAGTTCCCAAACAAAACCAGTGTTGGCGGCGAACCACTCGATATCGCCTTCGTTGCCGCAATAAAGGAAGATTGGACCCATACCAGAAGGACCGACCCAATGATCGGAGTTGATGAGATAACGTTGTTGGAACGTGGGAAGATCATTGAAGCTAAAATGATCAAGAATCTGCTCAAAATATCTGGTCTCATAACTGTACTGTTCAACAAGATTGATTTTGGTTTTCTGATTCCTGCCGAGAAACTGAGGCAGCCGACGAGACTCCAATGTTGATGAAAGAATAGAGACGAGTAAGAAGAAGAATACGAGAGAATCGAACAAGGGTTTTGCCATGTTTTCGGAGGGTGGCGATGAAGAAAGAACACTGGGGTGGACGTGTGGTGGCCAAGGTGAAGGGAAAAAAATCTACAGCCTCCATTTTTTTTTTTTCCTTCGTTAACCCGTATATCTAATCCGTTAATTCTACGATGACCACCAGCTTACACATAGATGACTTACCTGCTTTACAGATAATTCAAAGCCATTGCATTTGAACTTTTATGACCATAAAAGGATTTTTATTTATTATTGGATTTGAACACCTCCTAATATTTTTGATTTATTAAACTCAAATCAATCAAATACCAACCTTATGGTTTACCGTCTCCATTTTACTTATCTCCATTTTACTTTTACTTATCCAATCCCTATCCTTCCAATAAAAATTTGACACCTAATTATATTTTGTATCAATTAAATAAATTTAAAACTTATTAACACCATTAATTAAATTAATTAACGGATTATATTTATTGATTATTAATTTGTGATATCTACTCAACTCAAATATTAATTTGGGTTAGATTTCTATTAAACTGATTTTTTACTATAATTATATTGTTGAATTTTGTCAGTGTCATTTTTATGTTGTTGACTTCGATATGATCTATGTGGATATTGTTGTTGTTCTTAAAGTGATTGGATATGATATTATAAATTTTCTTTTTTTATAAAAGTAATTATGTTAATAGTTATCCGAGTTTCTGGATCCACCAAAAAACATCATCGCGAAAGCTTTCCGGTTGGAGGTGAGCTAAAAAGGAATTGTACACGTTGGCCTAATTCACTTCAATAGAACTAGGAAAGCATAGCACTTTTCGCAGCTCGAGACATTAAGTGTTTGATTGGGTCACATCTTGTCACAATATGAACGGAAACGATTCAATTGAGCTCTAACCGGCTAAACCCGCTTTGGTGGCCCACCCCAAGTCTTGTCCATAGGTGACTTGTTTGTATCTCTTTTATTAGGTCTATGGTCGTCAATGGTAAGTGAGTTTGAGTGCTTGCACCGCCATACGTGTACAATTAGTATTGTTTGGTAATAAGTTATCTATGTTGGGCCTCAACATTCTTGTCCAATACCCAATTCTTTATGGGCCGAACTTAAGTGGGCTGCCAATTCAAATACCATATTTAATGGACTATACTTTTATCATGCTAGAAAGATACTAACACAATGCAGCGAGATACATCTCGATTTTAATGTTTTGTGTTTTTTTGTCTCAGGTAATGTTATAATACGATTTTATATGGTTTTGAGAAAATGATAATGTTTTTATTTTTAAATATGATATAAATATTAAGATATCATAAAGAATTGAAAAAAAATAATATTGATATTAGTACTAAACTAACTATTTAAAATTTCTTTCTTTTTTGTGTATTTCTTTAATTCATTTTTTTATTTTTTGTTTAATAATATATTTTTTTTATAAAGATAACAATTAAGTATTTTCAATGATTATCCTAATCATATTTTAAATTTTTTATATTTAAAATGAGATATTTATTCTTTCGATTATGTTTATCTGCAGTTAGTTACACAAATTCAAAACATAAAGCTTTAATAAGTTGTACCTACGCACAATTTACTTGTAATCTTGAATTTCAAGTAATATGCATCAATAAACAATATTTCATGCATAAAAAATTATTTTTAAGAGTTTTTGTCAAATGCTTTATAATATAGTATAAATATAAATTAATTCATAATTTATTAAAAATTGTAAAATACCATTAAATTAAATGAAACAAGAAACACCCTAAACAACATCTTCAGCAAAAAATTTCAAATAGATTAAATAAACATCTTATTTTTTTATTTTATTTTTCAATAGATTCTTTATATTATTCTTTAAAATAGAAAAAACTAAATAGAATTTCAAGTTTGAATAATTCTGTTAAACCTGGTGTGAGGAGAGAAAGGATTTTTCCTTTAATTTATTCACACTAATGCGCTTAAATTATTATTGTTTTATATAAAATAAATTAAAAGTGTATTGAGATAATAAAATTATAAAATATTTTAATAATACAATTAATGTTGAAATCTTTAACTATAGAATCTGTTAAAGTTAAATGTAAATTTCTATTATAGATATAGAGTAGAGGTTGGAGATGCTCTAACACATTTATTTCCTAATGTCATCGATTGTGTACTTTGCATTAGTTATAGCTTAGCAAATGAAACGTCATCATTTGCAATACTCCTTACAAGTATGAGCGTAACCGCTTCATTAATAATTACAATAGCATCTAATTCGCAACCATCTTTAGAAAAAAGTGACCATAAATTAAATACTAGAATTCCATCGCCCATAGCTCGTCACATACGAAGCTATAATGTACTAAACAACAACAAACATAGCTCAACAAAACCGAATAGTCATTAATGGGCCGTTTATCAAATGCTTACCCGGTAAGAACAGTGATAAGGACCAAGAGTTTTACTTTGTAAGTGATTGTGACGCCTCTTACCCAGTTAGTGTTTACTTGGTAAATTGTTCCATACGATGTTATTTTAATGGACTATAATTTTACCCGACAAGAAAAACAAAAGTGTTGATTCTTACCCGTAAACACTTAGCTTTTGAGTAAACGACCCCTAAGGGGTTGTTCACCCAAATGCTTACCCGGTAAATGTTTATCGGTAGGAGTCAACATTATAATTTACTTTGATGCGTAAGATTTTAGTACATCAAAACGTATCGAATGTAACAATTTACCGGGTAACCGCTTACCTGGGTAAGAGTCATCATTTTCACTTACTGGGTAAGATTCTTCATCCTTACCGTCGCTCTTATCCGGTAAGATTCTTCGTCTTTGTCATGTTCATCCGTGAGGAAATTTATCCAGTAAACAATTACCAAGTAAGTGTTTAGTAAACGACCTCTAAGTCTAACTAGTTTAAACCTTGAGCTCACGACGACTTGGAGTATGAGATTCACCTTATGACCCACTAACTTCTTACCCGATTCATACTAGTAACCAAGGGTTGTACCCCCAGGTCGTGTGTCAAGTCGATTGCGCCTAAAACTTTGCCAAGTACAAGGACTTACAAGGTAATTTCACGACCCTATTCGTTGTATATATCGTACGCACATACAATAGCCAACTAGCAACATATGCGACTTGGGCCAAAACCCAAGTCACTTGCCCAGTCATGTAACACTATGTTTTACAAAATTTCAGGGTTATACATATCACCCGTACCACCAAAATATCCAACAGTAATTATTAAAAATCAATAATTAGAACAATACATTTTTTGTCATACTATTATTAACAAACAACGGTTCATTGAATGATTTGAAATTATGCTTATAGTCAAATACCTAACAGTCCACACAACCTTTTCAGATATATGCGTAGTTTAAGTTTGATGAAAGGAAAGGTTGAATAAAGTTGTTTCAAGATTCTGACGAGTTGATAACACGATATTTACTCTTGTCCGTAATAAAAATTATAGTCCAAACAAATATTATATATATATATATATATATATATATATATATATATATATATATATATATATAGACTTGGGATCATGTGAGACCAAAAGTTTTTCGTGAGATTCGTAAGACCAATTCTCAACCCTTGGATTAGATCTACAATTTTAACATTCATAATCACAAAATTGCCACGAGACTTCTCAATAATCATAAAATTGTCACCATGCAACTTTAAACCATTAGATCATAAAGTTGATCAATGAATATAAATTGGTCTTACGAATTTTACGAAAAACCTTTGATCTCATATGAATTCAACCTATATATATATATATATATATATATATATATATATATATATATATATATATATCATCTGGTTTACACCTATATCTAAATAGGTTTCCCCTAGCAGCCAACAAGTTGGTCAAAATTGGGTATGTTTCCAACCACCCAATTGTTTCCCCCACCTAATAAACTCTCCATTCAACAAACCCCACACACACACACACACTATGACTCTTTGCAATGTGGATGGATGTTAACAAGTCCACCTTTCTCCACTTAACCAATTTATCAGTTAATTTGGTGGATGATTTCAATAAGTCATCTCCATGCTTTTATAACAAATTAAAAAAAAATTAATATATATATATATATAATTAATATAAATTTTCTTAAAACTTGCAGTAGAAAAATCAGATGTTATAATTATAAGAAAAAAGTAATGATAACAAGGATATGTCGTTTTCCTTTTTAATAAATTAAATTTAGTATTGCTTGGTTTATTTTATATTAATTATATTTGGCTTTTTAAATACAAACAAATCAATGATATGATGCTTCCTATTTAACACCCCTATCTTATCCTTCAAATTTTCCAAGTTGGTGGAATCAATCATTGTACCACAAATACTAAATTTTAAAAAATAAATATTAAATCCAAATTAATTAGAATTTTTACCATTTTGTTTTTATTGATATATTTACTTAATAATACTCTGAAAGTAAATTTAAATTTATTATTTTTAATTTATGTTGTTTGGAAAAGAATAATAATAAAGGAAAATAAAAATGAAAATGAAAATGAAAATGAAAGTAGAAGAGTGGTGATGAGATGGGTGGAAGTCCATGATAAGAAGTGGGACAGGAAGCAGGCAACATTGGTCGGACGGCCATAAACAACGGACCCAATAAAAGCGAAAAAAGAAAAGAAATCTTGAATTCAAAGCCATCATAATTGCCAACATCTACGTACCACACAATCATCAATTCAATTCTACGAATCCAATCCAAATCATTTGGTGGGTCCCCACCTGTCGTCTTTTGACATGTGTCCTTTTCCCATTCGTTTGTTTTAGTTTTATGGTTTCGTGTTCTAACTAATCCCTCCCCACCATCCCAAACAACACGCCATAGTTTCCAAGAAAATAATGGGTTTCCACTTGATTTCAAAACTATAATAGTTTGGTAAAAAGAAATATTATATATATATATATATATATATATATATATAGGTGAGTTATTATACAACCTCTTATATTTGTATAACTAATACAACTCAATTTCAATCATTCATTTAATTTGATGAATATGTAATTTC